GGGGGGGGGGGCGTGAAGGATTTCTTTCTTTATCTTTTGTTGCTTTGTTTGTGTCTCATTGCTTATAGGCCTATAATAATTTGTTTTTAATTGTTGTTGTTGTTGTTTGGTTGGTTTTTGGTGTTGTTGTTCTTGTCGTCGTCTTTGCTGTTGTTGTTGTTGTTGTTGTTGCTGCTGTTGTTGTTGTGGTTGTTGTTGTTGTTGTTTTTGTTTTTGTTGTTGTTGTTTTTGTTGTTGTTTTCTAGGGGGTATAAATTAAAGTAAACGTATAGAGCATGGCACAGGAAAAGAAAACAACTAAAATATTAACAAGAACGACTGGTTTTCCACGACATTTCCGACAGTGGCACCATCCAACCACAGATACACAAGAAAACGCAATATCCACATAAACAAATACTAAAGAAACGTCACAGCTTTTGCTAGGTTTATGGTTTATTTTAACAGAAACAGTTTTACACAAGAGGCTTTTTCAAGCTTTAGCAGAACATCCATATTTCTTGACAAGGAAAATGTAATAAACTGTAAAATGCTTTGAATGCAAACAGTATAATAGCATATTCTATTTAATTCCCTTTTGATAGTGTTTCACATTTACATAAACTATAACGTTTACGATTTAACCCTATCCATACGTCGTGTTTACTATCGTATCCATACGACGTGGGGAACTTTGTACCACCACTTTCAAAGAGGAAATTTACTCGTTAATCTGATCCATACGCTTTGCATAGCAGTCTGTCAAAATGTTGTTTTTGGTTTTTTTAAGAGATACTGAAAGTTTCAAAGCGATCTTGGTACAAGAAATATTCTAAAATGTGAAGAATACAACCCCTGGGGTACAAAATTTTAATGACAAACTCGGAATGAACAAAACTGAGGCTTACAGTAAATAATTCAGTTGAAGCGAGCTTTGGGCCTATCTATCTTTTTCGATTCAAACCTATCCAGCTTCTTGTAATGTTTAGGAGTGCAGTTTTAGACGTCAACACGATATAGGAATAGACACACCATATGTCAGCCACCTCTACAATTATTTTTTTTATGTTGAAAAATTCAATTTGATTGTCGAGCACTCAGAGAAGATCACCCTAACAGATCAACATGAACAAAGCCAAGACAAGGTTGGCGGATAGGAAAACACATGTAGGGACGAGACGTAAATGTGTGGCTAGATTGTATGCAGCAGCACCAACGAAGGCTGTGTCGTTTATGAAGGGAGTGATTAATGTCTTGCAACTTTGTGGGTCGTCAACAAAACTATTAACAAAGAGCAGTTCAGGGGGATATGTCAACGTTTCGTCCCTCACAAACAGGAAAACGTACAACTCCGGTGACGTGTTGTTCCTTTCCATCGTTTCGAGAGTACTACCAGCATTGATGGCGATGTCGGTGTTGGTGTCGGTGACAGTGGCGGTGTCGGTGGAGATTGGGCAAGTGTGGTTGCCACTTCCGTCAGATGAGCTGGCGTCTCCTGAGTCTCGTTTCTTGGGCGAGCAGACATTGCCATTGAGTTTGCCAAAACTACAAAATTCCAATCGATCGGTCCCCTTAGCGAGTCGTTCGTTCAAAAAGTATAGAGCAAGTGACTGAGACATGATTTTGCTGAAATCTGGCATAGGATTTGAGTACGTCAAGTTCAAACCGATTTCCAAATAGCAATGGTCATGGTGTGAGAACACTGAACCTTGACCTCTTTCAACGAAGTACTGCTCCACGTCATCGCTGTGGTTGCTGAAGACAGTCGTGTGTACAATGTTGACATCTGCTACAGCCGAGGATTTTAGCAGCCGACATTTCATGACTTCAGCAACAAGCTCCACGTCTGTTTGTGTCAGAGGTGAATACGACGGTGGATGGGGGATGAACACTGTGTAATACTTCGGAAACTGGCATCTTCCGGCCACGATGTCCACTGATGGACCAATACAGCTGAGCTGTTTACACACGTGCGAGTCCTGGTTAGTATCTCTGGTGCACGACATGCTTCCCCAAGTAGGCCGACGATTGGTATACAGAATCCTTTGCGCTTGATACGTGATCTAGGAAATACACCAAAAGCAAAGTCGTTGATTACTCTTTTTAAAAAATTATGACTTTTAATCATACTTTTGAGTAACACAGATGAAGAAGAATTACAAAAACACACCCCAAAACTAAATAAGGCATGTAAACACCTGAACATGAAAATCTCCATCTCAAAAACAGAAGTTATGAAGGTCAGCAGATACCCTGCGAATTTTAACATCATTATTGACGGAACACAGCTCCAACAAGTGGAGGAATTTAAATATTTGGGAAGCATCTTCACACAAGACAGGCGTATGGACCAAGAAATAGAAACAAGAACTATGAAGGCAAATGCAGTGACCTATCAGCCAGCACCCCTGCTCAGTCACAAGAACATCTAAAACCGAAGTGAAATCCCAGCTCATCAATAGCATCTTCATACCAACATCAACATACCAGTGCCAAACATGGTCTCTAAATAAGGCACAAGAAAGAAAAGTCAATGCATGTGAAATGAGGTGTCTCCGCAAATCCATCCACGCCACCAGAAGAGACCGCATAAGAAACGAAACTATACGGTTACAAACTGGAATACCACCAGTAATAAAAATTCATCAATAAATGGTTTGAACATCTAACCAGAAAGTCCCAGAAACAACTAACGGCTAGATCTTACAACATCTGAGAATCCGGTTTGAAATAAAGAGGAAGACCAAGAAAGACCTGGCTGTTAAAAATGTCCTGGAACAACATATCTATCACATAGGCTACACACCTAGCATAGGACCGTAACCTGCACCTCCCCTCGACATCCCAAGGATACAAGAGGAATGAAAAAGTAAAAAAGAATAAATAAATAAAATATGTAGATTCTAATCATACTTTTCAATTCATTTGGAAACGTTTAATCAATTTAGCCTTTCTTTAAGTCGAACATCACTTCAGAAATGATTTCATAAAAGCCTTCTCTCTCTCTCTCTCTCTCTCTCTCTCTCTCTCTCTCTCTCTCTCTCTCTCTCTCTCTCTCTCTCTGTCTCTCTCTCTCTCTGCCTCTCTCTCT